TCAAGTCAATTGGCTTTATTGTCATTTCAGCCATATACAGCTAGTTAGCACACAGTGAAAAGAAACAACGTTCCTCCAGGACAGAGGTGCTACATAAAACAACACAGAACTACAAAAGACTACACATTACTACATAAAGTGCACGTGCAAACATGTAAACAGCACAAGACAGTGCAATAACTACTAAAACAGGACAATAGGCACAGTAAGTTACAGTGCAGTGCTGACTAGTACACAGTTCTAGTAAGAAAGTTAATCAGATATAACAGTAGTGCAAAAGAATAACAATATAATAAGTTGCTATAAATGTAAACATAACATACCATGTAAGTCGTGAGATCAAGTCTCAGGCCGGCAGGGATTGTAGGTAGGGGGAGTGAATGACCAGCGCTCTCTTCCACCCTCAATACTACCACTGAGGCAAGGCACCAAACCCCCAACTGCTTTTGACTAGTGCAGGGTGATCAGGGTTTCAAGTTTGACTCTCTAACCCTCAGGCCCCCAAAACCATGTCAGAAGTGGGATTCAAACCCACACCTCCATGTGGAGACCAGAAGCCTCCTGTAACCAGAAGAAGGTCTGAACCTTGAGTCTGGTGCCTTAGACCACTCGGCCATCCTGACACTGCAAGCCAGCTATACACTCACTCAGCTCACACTGAGTCTCTGTTTGAGTTTTACCACAACACAGACAGCAAATACTTTCAGTTGCAGACACAAGCTGAGTGGTAGCTCAGCAGTTTATTCGTTGGACTATTGAACACCCAACTGATTCTGCTGGACACTTGAGCACCAGGCCTTAACCCTCACCTGCTCAGTGGTGTAAATGAGATAAATGGAAGTCTCTCTGGATAAGGGTTTCTGCCAAATGCCATAAACATAAAATAAATATATACAGTGTAATGTATGTGATGTCTCAAGGTTTCTTCCTCAGGTACGACATAGATAAATGAAAGTATTACAGTAGGTTCCTGAGGAGGGAAACCACAACCACATTTTCTACTTTAACACGCCTCATTCAGTTCATTAACCCACTCTTAATATCGGGTTGATATCACAACAATAAACAGCTTGCTGACTCGTACAGCTGCTCAGCGGTAGAGCATTGGCCTGCAGCTCTAGAAGTTCTCAGTTCAAATCTGGGTGCTCTCTGCTTTGCATTATCTTCATGAGGCTTATAGTCTGCACCTTTAATGTGTCAGTGGAAATAACCGGAGCTGCAAAGGGTATCACCCATAGCTTTGCTAAAGCAAACATTTTGTTCATGCTTTACAGCCATATTTGGCGGTGTTGTCACTATTCTCTTTGAAGAAACAGCAAGTGCTTTTAACGTCTGGACAAAGCTCATTGGCAGTGTCAAAGGGGAGGAGGAAAGGGGTGAGAAGGACTCAGTCTGAAGCCTTCCCTACTGCAATTGATGCTATTGCTTCTACAGACTGAGGAGCACCTGATGATGTCTGGATGATATGGGCAAGAGGACTCTGTGTCCCAGGTTTCAGCAACTTTTCAGCCCATTAGCCTGTGTGTTCAGCTCCCAGCTCCCAACTCTACACCTTTAATGTTTCAATGGAAATAACCAAAACTATAAAGGATATTGTCTATACATTCACTAAAGCGCTCACACTGCCTGATCATGGTCTCTGTTTGAGCTTTACCACAAGACAGACAGCAAGGTGTCTTCCTCAGGTACAACATAAAGAAATGAAAGTATTACAGCATGACCCAGGCATGTGTCTACCACCTAAAACAACATGACACGATTCTGAGGGTTTATGTCCACACAAGACCTAGCAAAACCTTATCCACTGGTCTTTTAAAAAGTCCATCAAACTGCATCTCATTCAGAAAGCTGCTGCCAGGACACATGAACACATAATTGCAGCACTGAGATCCTTAGACTGGCTCTTCATCAGGTACAAGATTTTAAAATGGTACTTTAAGGTATCTCAGATCATTTCAGATGAGGCTTATTGTCTGCACCTTTAATGTGTCAGTGGAAATAACCAAAGCTGCAAAGGATATCATCCATATATTTGCTAAAGCATATGTATTGAGGGAAACATTGCATTCATGCTTTACACCCATATTTGATCACAGAAGGCAGTGTTATCACTATTCTCTGTGAAGAAACATCAAGCGTTTTAACGTCTGGACACAGCTCATTGGCAGTGTCAAAGGGGAGGAGGACGGGGGTGAGAAGAGCTCAGTCTGAAGCCTTCCCTACTGCGATTGATGCTATCGCTTCTACAGACTGAGGAGCGCCTGGTGATGTCTGGATGATATGGGCAAGAGAACTCTGTGTCCCAGGTGGATATTGGATCTCTTTAACTGTGGCATGGATGTTGGTGCCAGAAGGACTGGGTTGAGTATTTCAGAAAGTGCTGATATCCTGGGATTTCCACACACAGCAATCTCTAGAGTTTACACAGAATTGTGCAAAAAAAACAAAAACACATTGAAGGAGCAACAGTTCTGTGGGTGGAAATGCCTTGTTGATAAGAGAGGTCAGACGAGAATAACCAGATTGGTTTGAGCTGCCAGGAAGTCTTTAATAACTTAAATAATCACTCTTTACAGCCGTGGTGAGCAGAAAAGCATCTCAGCATTCTCAAACCATCAGACCTTGAGGTGGATGTGCTACAACAGCAGAAGACCACATCGGGCTCCACTCCTGTCAGCCAAGAATCTGAGGCTATCATGAGCACAGGCT